CACCCGAAAACGGTTGGTCCAAACAGTGTGCAGCTTATATGTCTCCGTTTGTTGTCTCATCTCACCCCATCTACAAAAATCACGAATGAGAGGAGAGCCCTGGCATGACAAGTTATCTAGGGGAAACACTGATTGCCAAATATGTCATGCAAGTTTGCTTGGGAACAGCTGTAAGAAACTTACTGTTATTTAGACAGATGGAATAACCTTCACAACTATGTTGTGATTTGGCACTATATAAATAAACTGAATTGAATTGAATTCTGACACAGGTTGGCCTGTAACAAAATCCAGGGTGATGTCAGACAGCTAGGAGTGTATAAAGGCTACAAGCATCCAGCTGGTACTGGTTATTGCACTTGTTCCAGGCACAGGTGCAACATGCTAGCACAAGCTCTATAAAGTCTTGAGTCATAGACAGCCACCAGAAGTGCTGTTTGGCAAAAGTATCATGGGTATCTGGGCGACAAGTAAACTATGAGGTGTGGGTCCATTCCAAGGCTTTACCTCTACAAACTTCAGAAACAAACCTCCTTTCTGGGGGACGAATGTCAGGGTCAGATTTGACTCATAGAGCCTCTTGGATATACTTTTTGATAAACCATGTAATCACTCCCACAGTGCGGGTAGGAGGCATAATACTTTCCTCTGTTTTGGAACAGTCTGAGGAGGATTACTGACTGGATGGAGCATCAGGCTTTATGTTTCTGGAACCAGGTCTGAAAAGTATGGTAAAATTAAACCAGGCAAAAAACAATGACCAACGTGCTTTCCTGGAGTTAAAACGCTTAGCACTCTGAATGTAAGCCATATTATTATGGTCAGTCCAAATAATGAAAAGTAGCTCAGATCCCTCAATCTAACCTATGTCTCTACTCATCAAGTGCATGTTTAATGTCTAAAAGTTCTCTGTTACCAAAGTCATAATTCTTTTCAGTAGGGATTAGTCCGCGAGAGAAGAAGAAGGCACAGGGTTGGATCTTGTTGTCATCCATTGACTTCTGAGATAAGACAGCTCCCACTCCAAAATCTGAGGCATCAACCTCTAGGATAAACTGTCTCTCTTGGTGTGTGGATGAGTTGATATAGTTACAGAAGTAAATATTCTCTTTAAGTCATGAAATGCCTGCATTGGCTTTGGGAGTCCATGCGAATGACGTCAGGGTATTTGAGTTGCGTGAGAGGTGCTGCTACATGACTATAGCTCTGTATGAACTGTCTGAAGAAGTTGGCAAACCCTATAACTGTCAAAAACCTTTCCTGTCCTCCGACACTGTGACACTCTGCCACAGCCTTGATCTTATTAGGGTCTGTTCGTACTTGCCCATTCTCACAGATAAACCCAGAAAGGTAACAAATGAAATATGAAATTCACATTATTCTGTTTTGACAAAGAGCTAATATTCCAGGAGGCACTGAAGAACTGCTTGGACATGAGTAATGTGTTGCTGTGGATACTTAGAATAAATTAGTATATCATCTAAGTAGACAAACACAAAGACATTCAGGAAGTCATGAAGGACATATTTAAGAGAGCCTGGAAAACAGTGCATGTCCCAAAAGGCAAGACCAGATACTCAGAGTCTAAGTAGTGTCCTAAAATCAGCCCTCCATTCATCACCTTCTCAGATTCTGACTAGGTGATAGGCATTATGCAGGCCAACTTTAGTAAAAATGGTGGCTGAATGGAGGCGTTTGTGAACAGAATTTATTCGGTAATATATATATTTTTTTTAATATATACATAATGGTTATCTGGTTAAGGCCCCAGTAGTCAATACAAAGTCTTAATGTATTGTACTTCTTGGTCACAAAGAAAAATCTGGCCCCCACAGGAAATGTGGAAGGACAGATTAAACCAGGGCCAAGGGATTCTTCAATTTAATTATGCATGGTGTCCTTCTTGAGCCAGAGAATGGCACCCAGGAGAAGATCAATAGCACAACCATAAGGTCTATGTGGTAGTAGAGAAATGGCCTGCTGTTTGTTGAAAACTGGAGCTAAATCATGATAAATTATGGGTATCCCTGAGATGACTTCTGTTGTGACTTGGCACTATATAAATAAAATGAATTTTATTGAATTGTATTTTGGAGAGATCAATTTTCTCTGGGGTCTTAGTACTCTTACTAGAAGGAGTTACAACTGATCGTAAACATATTTCAGAGCAACACCTCTCTATCCGTCAAAACATTTCTCCATCCCATTAATTACTGGATTCTGTCTCGTGAGCCAAGGGTAATCCAAAATAAACTGAAGGGTAGAAAAATCTAACGTAAGGAACTCATCCTCCTCATGGGGTTTCTGGAAATGAGGAAATGGAACATTGAGATCTTGTGTGTAACTGAGGTTAGTGTCTGATCTGTAAGGGCAGCAACAGTTAAAGGTCTTTGCACAGGAGTCTGTAACTGGCCCACTAGGTCACTGCTCAAGAGGTTCTGTTCAGTGCCCAAATCCACAAGAGCTAACACAATAAAGTTTATCTGGTTGAAATATTTGGTAGACGTTGAATCAAGCCAGGAACCAGGAGAGACTGTAGAACTGCCCACCAGTGTCTCCTGAGCTACTGGTGGAAATAACCTTTTAAACGATTTGGGCAGTTTGCAATACAATGTCCGGTCTTGCCATAGCAGATGCATTCCTTTGCTTCCATACATCACTGTTTCTCCTCGGGGTAAGAAGGGTGAGTCTGACCTGCATTGGTTCGAGATTTGGCTCTGGCGTGCAATATTTAGGATAATTTTAAGGAGGAGGTAATGGAAATGATCAGAACCCAGAAGTTTGGTGGTACTTGAACTTGAAGTTCAATTCCTGTTGTCTCTCCTGAATGTAGATGTCAATGTGGATGACAAGGTTAATCAATTCATTAAAATCCTTGTATATCTCCCTGGTGAATTGTTGTTCCTTAACTTGATCATTAAAATAATTAAGGAACATACCTCGTAAAGCCTTTGACTCCAGGCAGAACCCGCTACCATGATCCATAAGTGGATGGAATGTTCTGAAACATAATGCCTGCCTTGATAATGATAACGGTTTGATTGCCTCCTCCCCATGGAGAGGATGATAAAATAAACTCAAAGAAAATCCTTAAGAAAAAAAATTAAAAGTTTGAATTTCCATAGGGTGAGAGTTAAGGTAGGAGTATGACTACTAAAGGTAAAATACTTTAAGAACAATGACAAATATATGTCATCTTAGATGAATCAGAAACATAGGTGTTAGGAGCCCAATTAAAGGCTAATCTACATTGTAGGATAAATCCTCCACAGTGATAATAATTACCTTAAAATAACTCAGACAACTGTTTGTACATTTACGTATAGTTAGTATCTTTTTTTTAGCTCTGTTGATATAGCATTGATTGCCTGACATTGATCTGATATCTCATTCTGCATGGTCAATACAAGGTGCAAAGGAGGAGAAAGGAGGTAGCCTGACAGGACAAGGTGCGTGAGAAAGGCTTATTATGGCTGTCACGATATCATTGATCCTGATGACTTATTCTGTGACTGCAATGAAGCAAATGCTTTGATTGTTAACATCGACTTACCTGCAAGTTGTTTTTGCAATGTTAATGTATGCCAACTCATGTGGTTATGTTTTATTTTAGTTTTTTAGCTTCATCAAGTGAGCTGGGAAATGTAAATTAGTTTATCCTTGTTGTAGTGATACATCTTTTGTTTCTAAAGATGTAATTGGTGAAAGAAAACATGTTTTCTAATGAGATGTGATGCTGTTTTTAATTTGTTTTGGTTGTAGAATCTGTTCCAAACACAGACGGTGTCGACAAACAGACGAGCATAAACGTATAGATCCAACAACCATCCCTTGTATCCAGTGAAATTTTCAAAGTTAAGTAAGCAGTAAAGATTCTGAATCAACGCAGAGGAAAAGGCTTTTGAATGTTCTGCATTTGCTCTTTGAGTATTTTGCTGCTATTCCCTTTTCCCCGAATGGAACAAGAATATCAGGAGCTCTTGTTTCACTGACGTCTTGCATTGCAGAAGGGAAAACAGCCTCGTTTCCAGGGACCAAGAATAATTGCTGTGTTTATACAGTCTATGGTGGAGAGCAGTCAACGTTCTCTAGGGAAATACGAACACCACAACTCCACCACCTGCTCCCGCCTTTAAACTGAGCAGCGCCTTCCACAAAGAGCAATACGACTCATTTCAAACCGTGTCCTTACCATTTCCTGTCGAACTGACGGCTTTGACAAAAAAAAAAAAAAACAGCTGTGTTTGCCTATAAATTACAAGTGAGCATGTTGTGTTCTGCAAAGTTTCCAATGTCATGTCAAAGCATACAGCATGTCTTTGTACTTTTAAATAATTATGAAGAGATGCAGTAAATGATTCACGATCAACGTCGTCAATGTTGCCAATTTAGTGACTTGGTTTTTATATTTAGCAAGTATTCAGACGGGACTCTTAAAAAATGTTTAAAAAGCACTTAGCAACATATTTGTCTGGTGTTGGAGGCTTTTTGGAGAATTATGTGAAAACAAATATTTCACATGCACAAAACGGGCTGGCTGAGGCTGACAGGTTTGTTGTTCTCAATGTATTTAGTGTGGGTTTTATTATCCACTTATTGTCTCTCACAATATTTGTATTTTCTCCTACAGTGTTTCTCACATGCACAAAGCCAGTTATGCAAACTAAATAATGACGTAGTGGCTTTTAGGGAAGCCACTGGTTTTGTAAAATGTTCACACTAGAGACAAGTTCTTACTAAGATGCTGCTCACAGTATGTTGTATTAAAACTGTATGGATTCAAACAAAAATAAAATTATAGAAGTTAAAGTGGGCTCTCAGCCGTGTCCATCTATAAAGACTGTTGGACAAGGCTGCTGGACCACAAAAACTTTTTAAATGCTGTCTGCCACAGCAGAAACTGACACCAGATCAAATTTATTAATTCACGGCGTCAACAGAACTTCACCAACTTCACAGTCTGGTAGAAAACTGGACACATGTTTCACATGACTCATTACCTTTGTAGAAGCACTCCTCGCTGTGCATGATGGTAATCCTCTGTCCGCTGAAGCAGGAGGCCCGATGGAGCTCACAGTGGTTCTGATACAGCCTCCCATCGGAACCACACACGGGTTTATAGTGGGGTTTACAGTGATCCAAGCACCTGCACTCCCCTTGGTCAGCCCCATGGTTGACCACACAATGGCGTCCCAAACCACAGTACTTGTGTTCGCATGGATCAGGGTAGCTGGTATGTCCTATAAACCCTACAGAGGACAAAAAATATATATATATTGTTGTTATTGTTGTTGTGTTGTTATTTTTACTATTGTTGTTGTTGTTATTTGTTGGCTTGTTCATGTTTTAATCTAAATTAAAATTCTATGTGTGCATCTAGTAAAATGGGTGTACAGTAAATTTAAAACTTATTTCAAATTAATTAAGAATTTTTTTTAATCCAAGGATGAATGATGCATATTTCCACAATCAAAATGTTTAATGTCTGAAAATGCAGGTGAAATTCACAATAAAACGTTCACAAAAATGCTGAACAGTGTTATATTCAATATATAATGAAAAAAATGACAAAGCAACACTGTAAGCAATTTTAAACCACATTAAAATTACTTGATGAAAAAAGTTTGTACGCTAACATAATTATTTTTAATGAGAACTTACTGTAATTACATGAGCTCCAAATTGAATTGTGCAAATTATTATTATTATTTTTAGTTGAAAACCTACTCCAAATAAGTTTGTAGTAATTAAGATTAAAAAAACATTTATATATAT